AAAAAAATTAAGTCAGGGCCATAACTATCGCCAGTTATAACTGAAGGACTGTGATAATTATCAAGGTCAGCATAGAGAGTAGAATTGTCAATGGTTTTGAGTGATGAGGCAATAAAGTTGAGGACAGAATTATGGCGCCAGGTGAAGCGATCGAGATAGTGTTGACATCCACTTACTATATGTAAAAGAGATTCGGATGAAAGACAAAATGAGCAATCTGGTGATTGCGAGATACCCCATGTTACGAGGTAGAAGAAGAAGAAGAAGAAGAAGAAGATATAACAAATAGTTATTATAGATAGATACTTTTATTTAAACAGGGTTATCCTATCAGTAAAATACAATAAATTTACTGTTATCAACAGGAGCCCTAACTAAAGAAAAATAAAACAAAAGAAATAGACTAAAATATTTAAGATATGAAATTAAGCTAACATGCAGATATTATATATATGTATATATATATATATCCTACTATTATGAACAAAATAATATTATGCATCTAAAATACTAATATACGCTAAAAGCAAAATATTTCTTAAACTAAGTAAAATATATGTATAAATAAAAAAAGAGCTAAATTATGATAAAAAAGTTTTAAAATCATTAAAAGTAGGTCCCTGTCTTGGAGTGATTTCAAGATTGTATAAAAATATATATAAATCGCTGTTAACCCCACTTAGTGCGCGCACTTGGCAAGTGTAAGCCTTGACGGCGGCGGGTATCATAGTTGTGTGACTTGACAAGATCATTCACATGAATCAGGAAAAGCAGTGGCCCTAACACGCTCCCTTGTGGCACACCAACAAACACAAGCTTTGCACTGAAACAAGCATTCTAACACAAAGCCACAAAACATCTTTGTACAATTAAAATAAAATACCGCTTCAAACATGCATTTTATCATAATACATCAGTTTCTAACTGTTAAAAAAAGGTATTGAGTGTTAACCCAAAACGAAAATTGGGATCAAAACTCATACGAAAGTCTAGTTTTTGGCGCTTTTTGCCATCATTGCTCGCTATTGAAAAAAAATTCCTCTTAAAACGTTTTTCTAATTCTGAATTTTGGCTTCTTTGATTTTCAAGTCTAAAATTATAACAAAAGTTATTCCCCTCAGGCTCAGTAATTATCAGTAAACCGATAGCCCGCTGACTTTGGGAAATGATTGTTATTAAGCTTAGAATTTCGTTGGTTGGCATAGAATTAAGTAAAATTGTTTATCTCCTCAACCAAATTAGTTTTAATAAATCTAATTTGGTTGAGGAAAAAAATAATTTTAATTAAACGATTGTTAATTGGTAAGGTGTGGTTAAGTGAAAATTAAACGTGTTTATGTCTGTCGTTTGCGAGAAGAAAACAGAGTTTTAGATTGACTTTTTTTTCTCCCCGCAAACGGCAAATGTGACCACGTTTTCATAGTTTTCCTTTATCTTACTTTACTAATTACAAACCTTCTCACCAAGCACAAATACTCTTTTGTTTTTCTACTACTTGGACTTTTTTGCGATTCTTTTTCAGTAATTTAAAAGAATTTTTTACTGGTCAACTGACGTTTCATGTTTGCTGTGAACGTAAATCTAAAACTCTCTGAACACCTGCTTTATTGCCATCACGGGAGATCATGACGGAATAACGATAGGGATTTGCTCTTAAAGTGGATTAGGCCTAGGGCAAACGTCGAACTAACCAGGAGCTTAATTTAGTCGAACCTATTACATTTGAAATAGGCTCAAGCCTAGTACGAAGTTTGCTGCAATTGAGAACGACCCTATTGAATAGGTTCGAGTCCAGCATAAGTTCGACAAGTCAAGTCGGACATTACGACTCTGGAGCGACTTTGCGGCAATCACGTTTTAAACACGTGCCGAACTAAATTCATAAATTATGCAAAATAGTAAATCAATCATGCAAGTCGCATGACTTACACCAGAGCCGTGCAAACAACCACTCTCCCAACTCCCAAACTCTCATTCCCTCCCCCCCCCCCCCCCCCCTGGCGAGCATGCGCTATACAAAGATGAGTGATGAACGAGACCGAGGAGCTCTGGATACGAAACTAAATGCAAAACTACTCAAACTGAACATGTCCGCGTTTAGAAAATCCTTGCCACGAGACGAGACTCTTGAGTCTTGTAGTTTTTGTTTTGACCAAACCAAATATGTTTGCCTGGTTTGTGAGATGCCGACCTGCAATCAATGTGCTGTATTCGAGAGCAACGAAGATTAGCCGGGCTGGACGGCGGGCAAAAGCGTTGCGTATTGTGAATTCTGCAAAAGAGACAAAAAAAAAACAACAAAAAAACAAAAAAACAAAAACAAAAAAAAAAAAAACGAATGAAATACAGGTTCCCGCAAGGATATGCATTAATCCGGAAAACACAAACAAATGTCCGTGCGTTCCCCGTGCATTTTCATGTCCAATTAAAATTATAATAACAACGGGTGAGTAAACTAAGATCGACATTGGCTCGACGTTTGCCGCCACGTAGGACCTTAGTCGACCTTCCACGCTAGTCCGACGTTTGCCCTGGGCCTTATTGAGCTTATTTATATCAAAAAGATAGAATTATGCAGCGATGGAAATTCAAAATATTCATGTATCACATCCTCGGCTCAGGCGTAATGTTTTCCCATTTCAGACCACGCGTCATTTTTTTTGTTTTTTTGTTTTTCGTTTTGCTTAACGGCTGCATTTGAGGAGACAAATGAATATGGATAAAACTCAAAGAAAGGACCTTAGGCCCCGTCCACACTTATCCGGAAATTTTTGTATCAAAAATGTTCGCGTCCACACTCAGCGTATTCGAATGGTTTTCACTGTCCACACGTATCCGGATATTTCTTGATCCGCCCTGATGCACGCTAGTGCCTAGTCCCTTTGACGGATAGTTTTTTTTATTGAGCATGCGCAAAACCGTTTTATAATATTGGTAAATTTTCTCTTTAAATTTATGATGTGAAAGTTAAAGAAAAGTCCAAGCACTCTAATCAATTTATTATTTTCTTTTATTTCTTCTGGTTATTTTATTCGTCTCATAGGAGTCCTACTACACCCCCAGGTCTAGAGAGACATTAAATCAAAATCTCGACGACTCCTAATCTATTCTCATTGGTTCCTTGAGTTCATATCTACAATACGAAGAAATGACTCACTTTTATCGCTGTTCGCCATATTAACTCCCGCAAAATACCAAAATGGGGTTATTTACCATGTAATGTTGCACCAACGGAAAAAGTTACACTAAACAAACACTCACACAAGGAATGGTATTGAGATTTGACCTCCAAAATGGCGGATATTATAATTGGTTTACAATCTGGAGGAGTTAAAAATTAAAAGAATTCGATTTTGAACAGCATGAAGAAGCAGTGACCCTATACTCCTAGGGCCAACTCTTTTGTTTTCCCCTGGGGGACGATAAAAAAAGACTTGTCCCTAGCACCAGGGTCACCCTGCCTTCATGTCAACGGTCTCTCATAAGGTAGGGTGACCCCTCAGCTAGGACTACCTGTTGTTTTTGGTGTCTCCTGGGAAAGGAAGCAGAAGACTTGTCCCTAGCACCAGAGTCACCCTGCCTTCATGTTAACGGTCTCTCATAAGGTAGGGTGACCCTTCAGCTGGGACTACCTCTTGTTTTTGTCCCCTTTGGAAGGGGTACGATCTACATAAAAGATACGCTATATTACACCTCGTTAAAATTAACTCTCTGGATTGTTTCTCTCGTTAAAAACCTCCGAAAAATAAATAAATAAAAATCTCTTTACGAAGACAGCCGTTAATAACTGCAGTTGCTAAAATACACATTTGGTCCTATGGATAACTTTGATTTTAATATATACACTTGTACTTATATATGTACACTTCGTACTGATTTATCATTATTTTCTTTAGCTTTAACTCAGCTGAACCACAATAAACCGACACTAGAAAAAACGTTTGCGCATGCTTGCATTTCAGCACGTTTTCTAAGAATTTTGAAGAGGTTGAGTGAGAAAATAAATGTTTGTTTTCTCTAAGTATACAAAAAAGTTCGAAAGTATACTTTTGTCAGTTCAAGATACTGTATTAACAAACACAATATGAAAGAATTAGCATTAAGTTTCAAGCATGGGCACTAAGTTTTGGCATTTTGTGAAGTCCAATTTATCAGGTATGTTTGAAAGTCAAATTTACATATGTTTTGACTAATTTGCATACGGATTCAGAGCATGCGCAGACGTTTTTCACTCGTGTCCAATATACCATTTTCGAGTTCCAAATTACCGCTGTGTTCCTTGTTTACAGACTCACTTACATGGGATTAGCCTCGATTTTGTGCAGAATATTCACGTGTACCAGTCAAGGTCCGTCGAGTTTCAAAGTGTTCGTATTGTTGAAGTTGTGCATTCTTTACTTTACCGTTGGTATTTGTGAATATTTAAAACACTGATACGAGGCTAACCCTGTGCAAATGAGTCTGTACACAGCCGTAATTTGGAATTCAAAAATGGTCTATTAGAGAAATCTCGTTACTATGGTTACCAGTGATACCCTTTTAAGGGGTTCGTTGCTATGGTTCCAGGTCACATGGTGTTTGCAAAATTTCTAAATCTATTTATAGTGTTTCGTTGCTACGTCTACATGTCACGTGGTTCTTGATTTATGGATACTTTTAGGTTGCCATGACTACATGTCACGTGGTTTTGACGGGCGGTTCTCGTTTTAAGGATAGTCTATAGTTTTCTTCCTCTGTGTTGAAGGACGCGTTAAGAAGGAACTGTCGTACGTCGGGGTTACTGGCAAAGTCGTACTGGACAGCAGCCATTTGGTACTTGATCAGCTGTAGTTCAGTACCTGGAGAGAGAAGACCTGGTTAATCCAATATCATATGAATATCATAATCGCCAAAATCATAATCATCACCACCACCATCATTTATCATCGTCATCATCATCAACGTCATCGCCAATCCACATCATCATCATAATAATTTGATTGACATCTTACCTATATGACTAGTTTCTGTACATTTCACAAGTGACTGCCACTTCTCCTCGTCAAACGTCCCGGATTCATTAAGTCTTTCACACGAGCATTCCCTCGAAACGTCCCGTGAGATGTCCCGCGACAATAAATTACAACCATCCTTGATGATCGGCGTACTGACGCTCTTCCCCATAACCTCATTGGGCGAGATTGACCCCTCACGAATAGACTGTGTACTAAAACTATGCCCCAGTACGCGGCCATCTTTGACCGAGTTGCTACTGGTRCTTCGTCGAACAATTCCGTCTAAAAAGAAACGTCGAGTCTTGGAAGTCTTGGAGCTCTCGGAAAGCCGTCTTTTGGGCTTCCCATAAAAAGTCCCTCCACTGAAAAACGATGTCGTTGAGCTCTCAGACAGTCGCCTAAGCAAGGGAGGTTTTCCGGATGAAGTAGAGCGGGGAGTATTTCCAAATCTCCATGAATCGGGATGCCCATTCATGTTGTCGGAGTTCGTAATTACAGAGTCTGAACTTGCAGGAACAAGCTTCCCTTTGAATCGGCCATTTTGGACGTCGAGAATATCAGAGCTGTTGTTTCGATTATGGCTTAAACTCACTGTTTCATTATCCGTACTGTTCTGCCGACTGTGAAATCGTCTAAACTTCGGCCTCGACGAGCTTCGCTTGGATCTGTCACGTGACAGCATGTCATGCAATGAACACGTGATCGAAGCGGTGTCATGTGACTCCTCTACGTTATTGGTTGACGTAACCGGTGAGAATTCTCTGGGAGTCGCAGGGCAGGATTTCGTTTCGTTTCGTGACGCATGTGTCACGCCGTTACATTTGGAATATGTCACGCCATTCACTGGGGTTCCGTCGGTTGAGTCTTTAGCTTTGCTGTCTGCGTTTGGCTTCGTTGTTTTTTGCTTCTTTCGCTTGACCGACATGAAAGCTTGTGTTTGAGCAATCTGAGTTAGGAAGTCACCCAGGAAAGGTAGACAGGGTCCGTTAGCTAATAAACTTTCCATTTCCTTACGGTACAACGCGAAGTTATCACTTTCCCCCATCAGAAGTGAAAGATAACGAAACTTCCTGGTGAGCAGAAAAAGAAAATCTTTAGTACAGAAATTCGTATACTATCAAACTTGAGCGGATCCAAGGAAAATAGGGTTATAAGGTGGTCGTAACCAACATGAGCACAGACATGAAATGGTAAACTGGAGGAATTGTAGTAACGCGGCTTCATTACTTCCGGTATCACCATTACTCCCGGTATCATTAATATTCTTCTGTATTACGCTATTCTCTTACTTTTTTCTTTTAGAAGGCACTTCTTTCCAAGTCTCCTTCATTCTGTACAGCGGTGTAGATTGTAGCCCAGCCATTAATGCCTTGAGCGAGTTGAAATTACCGAGTAATCTGCACTTGTCTGCGATCTGAAACACGATGTCAGAACACACATTGACAACCAGAAGAGATAACTAGCTAAAAACTAGTGTGAGCTGCGTCGGTGTTTCTAATGAAACAGCAATGACAAAAAGGTAAATTATACACCGTGAAAAGGTGAAAAAAACTTACTGACGTTTCGGACGCCAGTCCTTCGTCGGAGTGAAAGAGCAAAGACGAAGGACTAGCGTCAGAAACGTCAGTAAGTTTTTTCATCTTTTCACGGTGTGTAATTGACCTTTTTATCATTACATTTACAACCACTTTCATAACTAGGAATATAGCTCAACAACTAGCTATAACTCAAGATGTCTGGGTTTTTAGTTCCGTCAATCATATGTGCCCTCCACGAATTTCCAGATCCCTGTTTGTTGACAAAAAACGCGGACATCGGTGGACATAGGCAACTATCTACGATTTCATTAAGTGGTTGTATCAAATTGAGCTGATCCTCGCAGTATTTCATGCAACTTATGCAGCTGCAAATGGAAAGACTGTGAGTCTTGAACGGGATTTGAACCCGTGCCCTGGCGATTAAGTGGTTGGTACAACAGTTTACTGACCTGAATCACTTTAGATATGACGCGCGCCCTGGCTTGAGGTGTCTCCTCACTCAGAATCTCGGTAGCAACCAGTAGAGCAATTCGATTAAAAAATTCAACTATTTCCATAACGTTTGGTGAACGTACGTACTGTGGAAAAGAGAGAAAGAAAAATCAGAATTAGTACAAACCAGAAATTTCTATTGAAACTTTGCCTATTCCACACTAGAACGGAAATGACGTCATTATAAGTTATCGTTGTCAAGGTTACCTTGTCTTTGGTCATCCATCCACAGCTTTCCAACTCATGCCATAATATTCTAACGAATAGTTCCTTGTCAATCAATGTGATCTCTTTAGCAAAGGTTGTAGCGTCTATGTCAACCAGCCCTCGTGGCCAGCCATTTAGTAGTTCGTCCCCAACATCTGGGCTGTAAGGGGGTTCCGTAGGGCTCGTCGCTCGGCCCACTCCGTTTTCTTCCGAAGAGGTGGATTTGAGAATTGGAGAAAGAAATTTTTGAACAAGCTTTTTTCTGACGCTTCCTGAAAAAACAAAAAATATTTCGTGGTAAATACAAACCGACTAGAATAAGCCATTCCGAGGTAGAGGGAAAAACTGTTTTGAGTTGGCACATAAGTTCATTGGGGATGTTTGAAAGGGCAAAATAGACGCCATCTTGAATAAGGTCCGTTAAAACCGTCCCACAATGCACTGCAACGCCAACTCGACCCAGTTTTTTCAAGTTTAGAACTTTTTACTCGCTTTTATCTACGCTCTTATCAAACTTCCTAAAGCAGTATAAAAATAATAGTAGAGTCATCCCTTTCCTTTACTTTGACTGTTAGTCTATACATTTAAGATATTCAGCTAACCGAGACAAAGTCAATGAAGAATGACTGGATTAAATGTTCATAAACATGCAAATGATTCGCTTCAGCAAGCACGTACAAGTTTATTTAGTCCAAAAAGCCGAGAAAGCTAGCGAAATTTCAACAGTTAGAAAAAAGAGGGCATTTTACCAAAGCTCTGGATAGTGCTGGTATAACGGTTTGCACGTTCTTATACGACTTCTTTAGTTTGAAATCATGAATTTCCAACTTTTGTTTATTGTAAATATTGTAGAAGCTCTAGTAGCTGTCAAACGAAACATTTGTGGAATTTTCAGTTCAGGAAATAATAAAAAATACATGCAAGACTTGAAAATCTTAAATGTCAATTAAACAAATTCAAAATTTTAAATTTTTTCGAAGGATTAAGAAATGAGAAATAGTAAATGAAACTTTTTATTTGTTCTCTATATTGGCCTTAAAATGCTTTCCGGCGGAAATGTCTTGAAAATTTAAAAATCTAACTTTCTTTTATATCTTATAATATTTCTTATAATATTCTTATAAGATAAATAGTCTTTAATATCTTATATTAAGGCTAGATTAATAGTTCAATAATGAATAAATACACTACGTAAAAACCATGAGCTTTATAAAACTAAAATATAAAAATACTGAAATATTCGTTAATTGCGAATAGAAAAATGATAGAATCATGAGAATTTTTTTCTATTTACTCTCGAATAAAATGACCCAAAATGTGGAGTTTTAAGTTCATTGTGAGATTGGAAAATAGATGCAGTACTCACCATCTAGGTCTGTTATATCCCTTAACGAATAACATTTGTACTTTCCCGTTAAGTATAAATAAAATAGCAACGGCGAATCATCTACAGGATGCATTATTCCCAAAGAAAACAGCTCATTAGCTGGAAAATAAGACGCTTAGAGAAAAATTTAACCCGCCAAGTTGACTATCTCGAGCCTCTGGAAAATTGTATAGTTTTTTAGATAAGCTATGCAAGTCGTGCATGTTTAAGATGTCTAGATCCTTCCGCTACGATGGATGACATGTTACACCGTCATCTATCGAAGATAAAGTGGTTTTAAATATTCATGATTTTCAAGTGGAATGTTCTCGGAGCGACGAAACACTAGAACAAAAACATTTATTCACCCAATGAAATTACAAATTTAGAGTAGTTTTACTAAAAAAATAAGTGTTTACAGACATCTATAATCTTTTCAAAACTGATAAAGAATGTTGACGATTTTTACTATTTGATGAATGTATCGTAAATAAAGTATATTTAAGTTTTAAAGCTCTACTATGGTTTCGCGATGGTAAGATAAATGTAATGTATACAGTGCTTTGGGGCATATTTATAACGTCAATGGCGATGATAATGACCTCATTTTGGACTCATTATGTATTTTACAGACATAACTACTCTAAACAAGACATACTTTACGAGATACCACACGATGCCGGATACTATTGAACGTAAGGAAGGAATGGCTAGATATCCAAGTACTCTTTGGTTTATGTGAATAGCATTAATAATGATATTGTAAGGGAGGTTTTAATCGCGACTGTTTTGAGACACTTGGGAGAAAATGGGTTTTGATGAAATCCCGTTAGGGAAGTGGAAACAAGACAAGAATGGACAAGAGGAGAGGAGAGGAGAGGAGAGGAGAGGAGAGGAGAGGGAATAAATATATAAGGCTTCTTGAATAGAAAAATTATTGACGTCTTCACTTGAAATTCTTCGCGGGATTCAGCGCAATTCAACTTTATCTGTGAGAAAATCTACTGAAGAGGCGAGACGCAGAGCGAGACAAAATCTTTCGATGGAGTAAACATTACACGACCATGGAGCAGTTTTCACATGACCTTGAAAAGCTTAGTGTCGTAAGCGTGCCGTGTCGTGACCGTGATGTTTCCTAGAATTTTGATTGGCTGATTTTTTTCTCGCGCAATGTGACTGGTCTGGCAGTGCCGTGACCTTGGCGTGACCATGTTCGTACCGTCACATTTTCACAGTCATACGAAAACTGCTCTAAGAACTGAGTAGATGCCTAAGATGAACAAGGGCGCGTTGCTAGGATACAACAGATGTCACGCGGTGACGGAGGTTATTTTTAGAGTTAGAGAGTGAGTTACCTGTGTTTCCTGGTGAGGTCCATTTTCTACTGAAGGGTGAATCATTGACAGAATCTGCAATAAATAAATAAGTAAATATATAAATAAATAAATAAGGAACAATACTATATATAAATAATTAAAATACGAATAGATAAGCAAACAAATCAATAAAAAATATATTAATATCAAATAAATAAATGAAATATTAAATAAATAAATTAAATAAGAATAAATATATACTAACGAATTAAGACTGAATGGATAATTAGATAAATACAAAACACCATAATTAATTAACATCTTCACACGATTAATTGATTAATTAATTGATAATTTAATCTTTCATTTTTGCATTAAAAATTGCAAATCAAATTGACATCTAAGAATCAAAATGAAATAATCTACCCTTATGAACAATATCTATCCAACAAGGGCATAAAAACCATGTTATGACCGAGATGTTAGAAAAATATTGAAAGTATTGGAGCAAGTAGGTTCTTTTTTTGCATCAGTGAATAATATTCATTAAAAGAAAAATGAGAACTCGTTTGATAATGAGCTAGGATGTTCTACACTTTCACTTCTGCAAAGTCTTGTGATGTGAACAACAAACAGCAGAACGAAAGCAGTTTAGCTGAATTCAAATAATATTAAAAAGAAAAAAGAAAAACGCCTTAAAAGAATTAGAAAGTATTAGATATATGTTTCTTCCATAAATAAAAGTAAAATAAATCATAAGAGTGTTATGAATTAATAGTTTCTTGGAAAATCAGAGCATGTTCAGTCTGGTCTCAGTCACCTTCGCTTTCATTGTCATCGCTCGAATCTGTACAAGAAAGGCTTCCCCCCTCGCTTTCCTCAGCCAGATTTTGTTCGTTTTTTTCGACAATTTTATCACTTGGCATTCTTAGTTCTTGCACGGAGAGTTGTACTGAATGAGGAATATCCTCCCACATTTATAAGGTCATGTTGTTGAAGTTAATAAACGTGTTGTTTAAGTCGCATGAAAGGAAGCGATACGTCAAATACTTTAAGGAGCTTCCTTTCAGAAACTAACCATAACAAAACGGCTAAAAATAGAACAATTTGGGAATTCCCTGATGAACATCATTTTTAGATCAAAACAAAAGACTTCCAAGAAAAATCATTAATTCGATATAAATTATCTTTTGATAAAGTAACAATATTTATATTTTATATTTCTTAAAGTAACGAAGTTGCTTTGACGTTTTTGTATTCTTATGGTCAGTTCAAATAGCAATAAAATTTGACAGAGATTTGACAGAAATCCCATTCTCAAAGCCAAAAGGTAGTGAAATTTAAAAAGATGACAATTTAGCAGCCAAAAAAATACAATCAGTATATAAAATAACAATCTACAAATCCCAGGTTTAAGAAAGTAGACTTTTTAGCTCGAGAGTAAAGCCAAATAAAATAGAATTGGAATTTTTTTACGTCAACAAAAGAGACGTTTTGTTTCTTGGATAAAATGTATTAATACCAAATAAGACAAAACAAATAAGCATGGAATTCAATTTGGGCTTTTAAAATATAAAGCTAAATGCAAATGTTGTTGTCTTTCGTGGCATGAAGAAACATGCAGCACAACTTTACTTAACCTAGATTTTTATTCCATTCACGTACGTTGTACGTTGGTAAAATGTACCTTGTTGTACACACTGTTTGTGGGAATTTTTTGTTTGAAAATTTTCAAAATCCTAGGTTTAGATATTAGAAATTCCTAGTTTTTAATGGATAATTACAGTTTTTCAAAAATATTTCGGCTCTTAACTAATAAATCAGATTACAGTAAAAAAAAAAAAAAAAAAAAAAAAAAAAAAAAAAAAAAAAAAAAAAAAAAAAAAAAAAACGACGGGAAGNAAAAAAAAAAAAAAAAAAAAAAAAAAAAAAAAAAAAAAAAGTAAATCGGAGCAAAGGCTGTCAAATGTCGAATGCGATTTAAGTACATACAATTTTGTATTGTCCGCATTCCCCTTTTTCTTTTGTTTTGGTCATGCTTGGACTCGTTCTCGGGATTAACTAAAGGAAGCCTAGCCTAGACATTGTTAATGACAGATGGAAACAAAATAAATAAAAAGATTTTTTTTGTTTGAATAACAATTAATTTAAATTCCCAACTAATTACATATTTACTCCCCTTTGACGTACATAAAAGTGACACTAAAATGGCGCCAAAACCTAACTGTACTAAAATATAAAGTTAACAATTATACCATAATCAGTAGAGGTTCCAGGCTGAGAACAGGAAAAAATCACCAACTTAATTAAAAATATTTTTTTGACGGACGAATTTTCGAGATAAAAAGTAGTTGTAAAAGAAATGAGTTATGTTCAAATTCCTAAATGCTTGTTGTACATTTTCTATACATTTTTATTGTAGAGCAACAACCATTTTATAAATACGAAAAACCTTCTGAACATTAGTCGGAATAGTACGATATTTTGACTCCAAGTTAGTAGATTTGGGTTTTTTCTAGAATTTACACCAAATTAACCTTAAAAATCCCTAACTTCCCACGATAGTCTGATTTTTACGTAAGATTAAAAGTTGTTTACTGATGTGAAAAAAACATTGCAGTGAGACGACAAGAAAATACGACGAAAAATCCTTATCAATGTCTGGTGAATTAAGAAAACATCTTAGAATAAAAATAGGATAAAGAAAATTTTGAAAACAGCATCCGGCGAAAAACGATCTTAATGCATTACAGAAGTTCAGTTAATAGAGCACTTACTATGCATGAAAATGAGTAAGGTAACGAAGATATTTTGGAAAACAATTTCAACACAGTTTCAACAATTTGAACATTGTTGGATCAATGTGAAGGAAATCCCAAATATTTTTCGTATGCTCGTCATATTCAAGCGTTTCAGGCCGCCTTACTCCAAGGATGGTAAGTTGCTTTATGCTAATGTACTGATAACTTAAACTAAAGCCTTTTTTCGTGTGATACAAATGCTTTAAAGCACAATTAATTATTACGACTTATAAGACTTATGTTAAAGCAGTTATTGGTTCTGAGTGTTTTCATTCCATTAATACTTTTCGCCTCCTATCACTCGTATTGTCACCACAACGTATTTTACTATACATTCTATTACGGCAACATCAATACTTCTGAAAACGGAGACGTCGCCTCTATCATCGAAAAATAGTTGTTTTTACTGGGCTACGAATCTATGAATACAAATCAAGAATTCCTACCTCCGTTATCTTCGTCAAATTGAGCAGTTAGAATAGACCATAAGCTTCCTTGTGAACGGAAGTAAAGAGGATTGAATCTTTCGTCATGGAAAGAGTTATCATACAGATGCCCTAAAATCTCCATCTTCTAGATTTGACAGCATAAAAAGCATACTATTCGGATCCTAAATTAACTGGTAAAATATGAAATGTAAATAGCACTAGCAGACGCCAGCGGTGCCCCTGCGTGCTTGGTTCTGACTGATACTGTCAAAGTAGTTCTGTCCGTAAGAGAGCGTATGATTTGACCTGATTGGAATCTTCTGAGCATCGCTAGAGGTCATATTACTAGTCTCGTGGACGTTTTATGACAGTTCTTGAGTTTCGACACCTCCCACGTCCTTAATTTCTTTTCCTTTTTCGGGGAAAATTTTGCAGGTAACGGAACTTTTCGACAATAAATAATATTCTAATTTTGTACGGTTTTGTAAGGGTATGCAAATCAATACGAGATTAAGAGGAGAGGAGAGGAGAGGAGAGGAGAGGAGAGGAGAGGAGAGGAGAGGAGATAGCAATAGCCGATCCTGAGAATACATCTCAATTCTGATTTCAAAATGACGCACCAAACATAAGAGCTATAAGGTACAGAGTACTGTCATACAAGACTGCACGCTTCAGTTTTGTGCATCAACTCCAGTGACAACGGAAAGGAAGTATTCGATATTACGTGACTGTAACGACTGTAACGCAATGGAACGGATTACTTAAAGCTTTAATTTCATTGTCTTTCCAACGTGCACTCCTTCAGTTTCTTATTTCGCGTCTGAAACAATTGTAACGCAAGGCGAGGCGTTCCGTTTTATCAGTTCTCTCTAGGGTACCCGGTCATTTGAACTCAGGGAGCCCAATCGTTACTTTTATATATCGGTGCTTTCATTTCATGACTGAAACGATTGTAACGCAATGCATCGCGTTTCACCAGTCTTCGCTTAGGTACTCGGTTAGTTTGACACAGGGATTCCAATATCAGTAAATATAATTTCTCTCGACTCACTGATAAAAGATGTGCACGTTAGGCATTAGAACAAGGAAATTTGGATTGAATGAGGCTCATCAAATGATACGTTAGGAATGTTCTTTCGTCATCATCATCATAATTATCATCACCATCAATATGATGGTTAAGATAAATAGTGTTAATAATGGTGTTGATGATGTTGGTGATGATGTTAACAGATGATGATAGTGATGATGAGTGATAACAATGATGCTGATGATGGTGATGATGATGATGATGACCGATAACAATGATGGCAATGAGGACTGATGATGGTGATGATGATGATGATGACTGATAACAATAATGGTGATGAGGACTGATGATGGTGAACATACCGGTGATGATGAATGATGATGATGACTGATAACAATGATGGTGATTAGGACTGATAATGGCGAACATACCGGGGATGATGAATGATGACAGTGATGATGACTGATGATGATGATGGTTATGAATGATGCTGACTGATGATAGTGAAGATAACAGTGATAATGAACAATAATCTCTCATAAGTCTATCAAATCCAATAACTTATTAACTATAAAATGCTTCTATTCCACGAATGATCAATGTTATAAAATAAAAATAAAATATTGCCAGACAATGCTCACAGAATCATCGTAATAACTCCAACAGTGTTCACTGAAGAGATCAATAGATATAACTACAATCAAATGAGCCGTTATTGAATGAATAACTAATGTCTAGTGGTCATCTTATTTTGAATTATTTGCTTGAGTGAGCCAGAATATTAATGGCCGTCTAGGTCACCGCCTGGTGTAGCCCTAGGCAATAGGCCCTTTCACAGTTCCCTGCGCCATCTTGAAAGGTAGCCGTGCCTATGCATCGAAGCGAGATGAACGGTGAGCTTGCAATGACAAAGACCTTTTTTAAACACCTTGTACAATTATTCACGTCTCTATCATTGCAAGCTCACCGTTCATCTTGCTTTGATGCAAAGGCATGTCTACCTTTCAAGATGGCGCAGGGAACTGTGAAAGGGACTATTAACCAGAAGTTAGGAGATTAATTAATTATTCAGCATGTTGTTGTTACCGCCCAAGATACACACTAATCTCTTGTTGAAAAACAATATTTCTAAAATCTACAGTATTTAAGCTTCAAAAATTGAATTCCCTTGCTCTTCAAGCGTGGAAATAAAAGACTCTGGTAATATCATCAATCTATTCTCTTTCTTTTGTATGATTTTGAATATGACATAGTAAGATAAGTCTATTGGAAATAGGCCAACCTAAGAATAGCTAGTGTACCACATTTTGGTTGATTTGTTTTAATGACATACTGGTGTAACTGAGAAAAGAAGGTGATAATCTTCAAAAAAAAACAAGAATCAAAAATGTCCCTTGAGTAACGACAGCTTGCAACATGAGAATTAGCGTGTAAGGATGATTTAGACATGCCAAGGGACTTGCTTTTTACAGGCAAAAACCTCATTTCCTCAGGGTTATGCCTCTCAATTCAAGTGACTAAAGACGTAAAATGAGTCATTTTCAAGATGTTTATGGAAGATTTTCTGTTATCTCTTAAATTGTCAAGTGGCTTTGGAGCTTTCAAATCAAATCTTAAAAGTGCTTACAGTATTTTTGGTAAAACACTTATCTTTCTTAACGACTTATTTGTGTGCTTATTTCATGAATAATAACACTAATTGAACATGTATGTACAATTGCCCTATTTCACTATGACGTGACATCAAAACAATCTATTGTTTGAAGGCAAAGGATCATGGTCATCGGAGGGGGTCAAATCAACGCAAATTCACCGAAAATTGTTCTAAAACCCATATCAATCCACAAAGAGAAGTAGAATAGCCAGCAAACGCTCAGAATATTTTTTAGTACATATTAACACATATTATATCTGAAAACCAGGCCATTTTAGATTAACCTGTTTTGCTAGGAGCAAATTTTGTTGAATTTTCTATTGGATTTGGCGATTCTATCTCCCACATAAACAAGCAGTGACGTCGTAGTGAAATAGGGCAATTAGTGGATAGAAAGTAACTGTTTGAAATTGAAACTGTTTAACTAATGCTCATTTATCCTTCCCTTCATTCAATATGGGAATCAAGAGTGACATAAAGTAGAAGTGCATTCTCTTTTCCCTTCTTGTGTCTCAGGTTCGATTCCAGGACTCGCATCACATGTGAGTAGAATTTGTTAGGTCTCTCCTTTGATTTGAGGGTTTTTCCTCCCTCTGCAACACCTAACATGCAGAATTTCTTTTCAATTTGTGAGTTAGCCATGCCCTGACTTAGATCAAATAAGAGGTTGTTTCAGGGTTTGATATCTGTGAGTTTGCCTTGCCCTGGCTTGGATCAGCCCAGAGGTTGTTTCAGGGNTTGATATCTGTGAGTTTGCCTTGCCCTGGCTTGGATCAGCCCAGAGGTTGTTTCAGGGTTCGATATGTGAGTTAGCCCCGCCCTGACTTAGATCAGCCCAGAGGTTGTTTCAGGGTTTGATCTGTGAGTTAGCCATGCCCTGACTTAGATCAGACCAGAGGTTGTTTCAGGGTTTGATCTGTGAGTTTGCCTTGCCCTGGCTTGGATCAGCCCAGAGGTTGTTTCAGGGTTCGATCTGTGAGTTAGCCATGGCCTGACTTAGATCCGCCCAGAGGTTGTTTCAGGGTTCGATCTTTGAGTTAGCCCTGCCCTGCCTTTGATCAGCTCAGAGGTTGTTTCAGGGTATTGATAAATTTAAAGAAACAAATCAATCAATTAGAATATTTTTCGTGAAAAAATAATGGCGGTTATGCCTCTTTCTAAGACAGCATTATAAATACATTTGAGCAACTAAACAAAATGATCACATGCACATTTTCCATTATTTTGACAACAACTTGTATGATAAAAAGCTTTTAGTGGCAATGCCACTTAACCTGGGGTAAAACATGCCAGATTTTTACATCAAAACAAAGTGAAAAATAACCTATTTTCATAATATTTTGATTCAATGTTTTCTTAATGTGATGTGTCACAAACTTCCCAAGATAAAAAATGAAAAAAAATTGAGAATATTGGCTACTTGGTTTTAAGAAATATCACACAAAAATAGAGGATTTGAAATTAATGTCGGCATTTTAATGATTTCTAATGCATCATACTGTAATATGCAAAATGGTCAAGATAAAAATTGACATCTTTGAATATGAATTTGAGAGGATATTTGTATTCTCTATGTATACTAATAAAATGATTTTTGTCTAGTTTTGATAATGAACATCTTCATTGTGATTGATGATGAGCTTGTTTGGATTCTGTAGCAGAAAATGTAATCCCATACTTTGGAATCTTAGTGGATCTTCCTTACAATATAATGACTGTGCAAATCAGAATGACCTTGATCAATACATATCTATTATCTAGCCTTCACGCTTGATAAAAACCTTTGCATAAACATCTACTGTAACCTCTTTGTCTACAACTAGTCATGCAATAACCATTCAAAATGGCTTAATGAATGGATAATGTGAACGGCGCACATGGATGTACAAACAAAAATTCATRAAGGTGCAACAAGACCTGCACATTCATAAATTAATTTCAATTTAAAAAAAACAGGCATATATGAACACTGTCTCATATAAGAAAAAATACAATATGCATGCATGCCTCTGTACTGTGATATAAACATGCTGGGAGCTGTAGAGGATTAGAAAGAGCAAGCTTAGGAACACGAGGCATAGCAGAGTGTATTTCTCTTGCTTTTTGAGTGCTCTACAGCTCACTCGTTATATCTCAAATACTTTATGATAATTAATAATAATTTATTAAAGTTATTTAAGATGTTTAATTCTTACCTTGTCTAGCAGGTAATGGTGACGTAACGGTAGATTTGTATGATACTTTGTTCCTTCTCAGTTCTTTGTCGCAATTTATTTCTTCAGAATGTCTACTGCGACCCATTCCGGCACTAAAACTCTTCCCTCTTTGCAATTTAGAGGGACTACTATCAAAGTCATTAGGATATTCTTTTGCAGGTGAAAATGGAATATCTGGTAATGACGGAAGATTTCTAGGTCGTTTCTTGTTAAGAATGGTCCAAAATCTCCGTACTTTTGCTTTCTGAGGTTTTTGATCTAAACCATGTTCCTCAACAACCATATCATCCTTAAAATTAAGGCGTCTAGCAACTGGGGTTCTCTTACTTGGAGTCCCTGTAGTTTTAATTCCAGATAAGTACACAGGTCGTGCTGGAGAACTCTCTGTTCTTAATAATTGCTGTTTAACTTGACAAATGCCAAATGCATTCTCACTACCTTGAGGAATCCTGTTTGCATCGCTATTAAGAGCTAAAGAGAGGGATAATCTACGGTTATGGTGACACGATGATGGAACAGCAAGAGTCTTTTCATCCCATAAATGTCTGCGCACAAAGTTTAAATTACTAGGATGCGCTCTAAGATACTCAATCCTATTATGGAGTGCAAGTTCAGCTGCAGTGACATTCTGAGGATATTTAGTAACTCTCCGATGTCTTTCAATTGATTTTGATTTAATCTGCTGTACAACCGTTGGATCTAGGCTTCCCGACTCCACGGTTCCCTTCCTGGTTTTGAGATCATCATCTATATTCACGTTACTCAATTCCGAAATGTTCATGAGTGAAAATGTGCAAAACGGCTTGGTATAAGATAATCTGGGGTGTGAATTTGACCTCAATAGAGAACCTGCCCCTAAATATTCAAATACATCTTCGTTTTCGCTCCCTATCGTCCCTAAAGATGCCCTCTTCATAGAGTTGTCTTTTTGTAGATTAGAGATGGCGAGTTTACGCACATTGCTCGGGTTGAGCATGGTCATTGAGAGCATTGACATCGTTCGATCCACACATAAAGGCAAACACTTGGGCAACGACAATTCCTCTGTATCTAGTTCTTCTTCCTCGTCGTCGTCTGAGGACGACATATCCGTGTTTGTTCCCGATTCTGGCAGAGCCATTGGCGGAATCTCGAAATCTTTGGATCTTGATTCCATTGAAGATAACCGAAAACTGTTCATCCATTTTTGCCACTCCACCTCATTTACCACACCACATAATCGATACTTCTTCCATCGACTCTCCTTACACCACTTAGCCTTAAACGTATATGAACACCCTTCAATTATTTCTGTTTTTATTTCAGATCGGCTAAATTTCGAGACCCTTTTTGTGGCCTCAGGTTGAAGAACATGTGCTTGTTTTTTGATCTTGTTTTTTGATCCCTTTTCAGTCAGGTAGAGAAACTCCGATGTGATCAAAATACGAACGTTCTTGTCGACCCATAACTGATTATCAAGCTCACTGAATTCCCCTTCGATCAAGATTTCGCCTTGTCTTAGACTTGAAGAGAAATCGGGGTGAGTTTTAGTGGGAGAAACACTCGCCTCATCTTCGTTTCCATCTATCAAAGTCAACCATTTGCTGCTGTTTACATCTTGTCGAACTGAAGCCATTCTCTTAACAAACGAGCTCCCATATCACAACTACGAGGCATAACAGTGTTCCTTCTCACCAAACGACTAAGAAAAAAGCATTTTGAGGGTGTTTGTCTTGTTGTTTTGAAGATTTAGCCTCGTAAACACAGAACAAAGTGGATGACCTTTCGGCCGTACAGCCATGGTGTCTCTTTATGCATAATTCATGACGTTGTGRCGTCATTCAACCCAGCCAAAACATTGTAATTTTTCCCCCCCAAAAAATCATTTCATTTCACTTTCTTCAACGATAAAGATTTATTTCTCCTCCAAAAAATTATAAACAATTCTCGTTTTGAACTGAGCAATCAATTTATCAAATATCTATGAGCCACAGTATTTTATTTTATTCTGATTTAATGAGATTTGGCGAAATGTTTCCCCAATGCTGAAGGGCTTATATCAGTGACGGTATATCAAAGCCGTGAACCATTTTAATGAAGCCATCCTCAAGTCTAAAGAAAAAGCTCAATTACGAATTCATTTACGAGTTTATTAAAACAAAACAAAAAGGGAAGAATTTTCTAGAAAAAGTCGCCCTACCTTAGTAAGTGAACCGAAAAACCTGTGAAGAGAAGTTAAAAAAAATACAAGGTAAAGAAAATAGGAGTGATGAACGGAAAAATATCGACAAATACTTCCAAAAAGGCTTATTAATTTGAATTAAAGGATGAAGAGAGGAAGGAAGGTAGAYAGTTCACGAAAGAATAGACTGAGGATGTGGTTAAAAAATTATATTGCACGGCTTGATGGATGAGGAATAATGAGAACTACATGTGAATGGAGGCGGCGTTTGGCGGCGTTCAGTGATCATGCATAACCTATCCCGTCTTTTCATTCGGTTGAAGTTGGCAAAAATTTATATAAAAATATAGCTTTCGTGTTAAGGATACGACAGGGATAGGAGAGGCTCCAGCAGTCTTTAAAGCAAATTTTTTCCATATTTTTTATATTTTTATTTCTTTTAGCATAATAATAAATATTAATATAAGGTGGTTACAGTCAGAAACAACACTGACTCAAAGACTTCCATCGTCCACAAATCAGAAGCCGAGAAAGCAGTCACCATCCAATCACAAAGCTCGCTGGAAGCTACAGAACATCACAGAACTCTCACAGACCATGGTTTGGGATTCAGAGGCCGGAGCTAGTGAAAACTGGAGCAACGTAATTATATTGAGGTGTTTAATGATGATGGGAAACGAAGGATAAGACCAAGGGCGGATCCAGCCAAAATTTTAGGGGGGGGGGGGGGCTTATTGAGTTTCTTCCGTCAACACAACGGAAAACAATATAAAAAAGCATCGTTTTTTTCCTGCTGAAGGGGGGGGCTTCAGCCCCCCTTTACCCCCCTGGATCCGCCCTTAAAGACATTATGCAAAATGCATTGAATGCATCTTTCATTTGCACGAGTTGAAAATGACACGAACCTTTGCAGTTTTGCATTTACAGCAAAATTGCAACCGGTATCAAACTAGAACGCTTTCACGTGACGTCACAGCGGCCATTATGGAGTACCAAAGCAATACATTTTCTATCCTCCGGGAATTGAACTCTAGATTTTTTGCGAATACTGTGCAGAAAGTTTCTATTGTTAATGGCTGTCTTCTCACGTGAGTGAAAAACGCTCTATCAACGATAACAAAACAAAAACGAAAAAATAAAATAAAATAAAATAAAATAAACTAAAATAAATAAATAAACAAAAAATATAAATGCAAAAAGTCAAGGTGACGTGTAGCCGAAAATATTGCATGACAAGCTATGTTGCATGACAAGTTTTAGAAGAAGGGGCCAATACTGCGTCGTCTATTTGGGACACAAGTTTCTGGGAGTTCGGAAAGAAATTATATTTTATTCGAATTTTCCCCAAGTGAGTACGCTGACCGATCGAAGCCAAGCACATGGTGATAAGTCAGAGGTAGGTGGTACGAGTTTTGACGAAAACCACAACCGGAACTCAGTGTCCGTACATATCAATCATCAGTGTTCTGTGTTTTCTATGGGAGAAGGAGTTGTGTCGGTAGGAAGCGATATGTAGGGGAGAGGGGGTTGGGTGGTATTAGGTGGGGTACTAGTAGTGAAATAGACAGTTCTCGAATTCTCTGAGAAAGACGAAACACGGCTCCAAGTATGTGTTCATACATTTATTGCATTTTATCGAGCTCGACCTCTGCTTGAAGCCATTGTTTGGTGGTTACCCAAGCAATATTTGAAATTGAATATCGTTACGAATTGAAAATTAAGAATTGACATTTGGAGCTATAATATTCTCAAGTGCTTTGCCACGTGGTCTTGAATCAATACCGGAAATTGAGAATGCTGTTTCGCGGTTGGATTTCCTGTTAAAACTTGCTTTTTAATATTTTTTATTACATTTATTTAACGAGTTATATGTTGTACTTGACTTAATTAATTCAGAAATAATGTAGTGTGTGTGTTGTTGTTGTTTTTTTGGGAGGAGGGGGGAGTTGTAGTTAGATTTGAACTTATAGCAGATTGACAGACAATTTGAGTGTTCGAGACTTAAAATTTAGTGCATATCAGCAAAACGTGTGGAGGCAAAAGCTACCCTTTCACCCCTACTCCCCCCCCCCCCCCCCCCCCCCCCCCGCCGGCTAATCGCTGTTCAGCAC